GACTTTGTCCCGCTTGGGAGATTTCTTCGGAGAAGACATAAATTGCTCATTCTTGAGTTGCTCTAATACAGGGAATGACTCCTCCTTAGTGCTTTTCGATCTTCTTTCAGGTGACTTGATTGGTGATTTGGGCTGCTCCCTTATGGGAGAGAAAGTGCTTTTGGGTTTTTCAGGTGGAGATGAATCAAGATGACCTTCGCTCATTTCTTGGAAAGTCGGTGATTTTACAAAAGCTGCAGGAGGAGACTTCTCCGTAGGCATGGTATCGGCAGGTAATTTTCCGCTCGCTTTTTCCAAAACCATACTTTCTACTGAATCGACCACTTTTGAGAGAGTATCCAACACTGGTGTAGGTATAGAGTCAGAAAACGATGTTCGCTTGGAAGTTGGACTCCTCATAGTATCCTCAACAACAGCGAACTCCCTTCTAGATTGCTGCAATCCTTGCTCTAAATTTTTTGTAGCTGTCATTTTAGTAGGAGATTTGACAGATTTCTTTTCTTCGGCCACATTTTTCTCGTCTTTTTTTGACGGCATTTCAGATCGTTCCTTGACATCCTGTCCTTGGTAAGCAACTACATCAACAGAGGCATCTTTAAGAGGAGATTTATGAGGAGACATGCTTGATTTCCTTTCTGAATGCTCCGTATCAGAAAGTGAGACATGAGTAGGTGCTAAAAGTTGCTCAGCTGACTTCTCAGAGAAAGAATTGCTTAGTTGCTTTCCTGTTACTATTATTTCAGAACTTGTTTCTACAGAAAACCTTTTCCCAGAAGATACAACTCTTCTCTCAATCTGATTTTGCACGGAAGTAGTTTCTTCTGAAGCACATACTTTGGACAATAATTCCTGCACTTCTTTTCTAAGTGAGGCCAACTCATTTGATTCTACTTCATCCACATCTTTGTTCGATGGCGATAATATCTTGGCTTCAGGAGATTTCATCAAAAAATTTCGTGATTCTTCTTTTTTATCACTCAATATCTGTTCTTTCTCTACAACAAGCTGCTCCTCATGAACTATTTCCAGTTCTACAACATCTTTTGGGGTGGATATGCCTGCTTTCCTCATAGCCCTAGTAATTCTGGACGGCGACATAGGTTGAGGCGTCTAAAGCAAGATAAAGGACAAATGTGTTTCCAAGACAGACTCGTCTTAACCCTTTCTTAAACAAGAAACCAACCTGGCTGGAAGAAGACCCTCGCCGTCTTCTGCTAGGAGTTCTGACCGATGGTTCGGTGCTTGTTGCTTCCGCAGTAACATTTTCAGCAGAGATAGACTTCTGAAGTGAAAAGTAGTGTTCAAAAACAACGTTTTCAATCAAAGAGATATCCAAATAAGGGCCTAAGTATAATTTGAAAAAAAAAACTACACCGGAAAAAAGAGATGGACTAAAGGTTACATGTCGTATGCCTAGAAGATTAAGCCTCATGCTAAAATATAAAACTCAGTTCTGCTGACACCATTCATGGTCACTAGTGTGAGAAACAAACATAGTAGAACAAATAAGTGACAGAAACATACCGGTCTGCTCTTGTCATCAGACTCTCCAAGTGTAGTGCTGCAATCTTGAAAAACGCTTGTCTCAGACGTACTGGCGCAACTTTCGGAATCTGATGCTCGCTATAAGATGAATTACAAAAAAGCTAAAGAAGGGGGTAAGTGAGAGTAAAGAGTAACCTTTTTTCTTCCTCTCCTGCTCGGTGTAGACGGTACTGCATGGAGTGGTACTAAACTTAGTATAATTCCATAGATGCTGTTTGGATAACGAGTTTGTTTCAAAATTAAGACAGGCACAACAGTGAAATTAACACTTTAGAAAGCACCTATATCCCCCTGCGAATCGGGTTCAGAGCTCGCTCGCGAGTCCAGAGTAGATGTATCTGGTTCCTGATTATCGCCAATCCTAAATAAGTGTGACTATGCTATAGTATGTCTCATAAACGGCAAAACTAACTTTTCATCTGTGACAGAAGTTCGTCGTGATCCTCGCGTTGTGGCTCTCTTCGACGATAAAGCTCTTCCCTGAAAAAAGTACCTCAACAAAAAAATGTGCGACAAGATAGCAGAAGAAAGACTAACTCTAGTTTGAACAGGCGGGATTCCATCGGCTGCTTCACCATCGTCGTTTTTCGAAGATGACGATCGAGTACATACCATAATATCTGAAATGTAAGGTATGAAACATAACGGAAATGATAGGTATCACGTGATCTCGGTCCACCATCGACAGATGTTAGTACAAGCGTCTTCACTGTTAACCATTAATCAAAATTCACTGATTAAACAATGATGACCATCATGAATGATTTGATAAAGAAATTATTCGTTGCGACTTGGAAGACATTTACGAGAGATAACAGAAAAAAATCGCAGGTCGTCGCCACATCGCAAAAAAAAGAACTGAAAATGACTCTTCACTATGAAAAGCGGATTTGCAGTATATTCGTTCTAAATCCAGCTGC